TCCTAGTAGCGATGCCAGGAGCCCCTAGTAGCTTCTTGTTCCTAGTAGGGTCCTTGTTCCTAGTAGTACGGCCAGGAGCCCCTATTAGCGTGCTTGCTCCTAGGAGCGATGCCAGGAGCGCCTCGTAGCGTCCTTGTTCCTAGTAGTACGGCCAGGAGCCCCTAGTAGCGTCCTTGCTCCTAGTAGCGATGCCCTTTGCTCCCAGTAGCTTCTTGCGGCCACAAGCGCCCCTAGTAGCCTTCTATAATTTTATTATATTTCATTATTTCCACTCAGTCAGAGGTCTCCAGCATTGTTTGCTACGGCTACCGATGATGTTGGGAGCCTGATCAGAGAGAAGGGGACTTTCACTGCAAAAGAGAACTCAAGTCTTGAGGATTTCATTCTGCCCCACCACACGTATGACTTGCATCACGCTTGGGGCTCTGAGATTCGGTGATGACCTCAGCTGGTCTTCAGGCCCATAAGCCACAAAAGCTGCAATAGAAAACATAAAGTAACATATGCCACCAATGCTTCTTGTTGCTTCCCGGCTCTTTTAACATTTCTCCAGGAAACTGGTGACCTTTGAAGGCAGGTGGGTGACGTCATACGGTCCCAGATGTGCTTCTGTCATGTCATGAGGCGGGCACAATGGAGTACGCCAAGCGCTCAGAGAGCTGAACCAAGACTGCAGAGGCCATTGCTACTAGGAGCAAGGACGCTACTAGTAGCTCCTGGCCTTACTACTAGTAACAAGAATGCTATTAGGGTGGAGGCCATCGCTATTAGAAACGAACCAAGACGGGCTCTTCGTCGGGCTCTTCGTTTCGAGGTGAGAAAAAACACGAGTTCTGTAGGGAAGCAGCTCCCCGCCGGGCCCTGCCCCCCCCCCTCTGAGTGGTGAGGTTCTTCGAAGACGTCTCTAGATGTTTTGGGACACTTTGAGTTGCCTCGAGGGATACCAACACTGAGCACAAGTTCTCCCAAGAAGTTTGCACAGCTTTTGACGCTGATGCAGAGTGCGTTAGAGCCATGTGTCATGTGGCTGGGACTGTACGAGCAAGACGTGGAGAACGGGATGAACCGGAGATGGAAGGCAACACCTTGCCGGACCTTGAACAAGACAATGGTCCTTCTGCTTCGCTGCAAAAGCAATTGCATGGCCTGCATCGATCGCTTCACGGAGATGTCCTGGCTGAGACTGCCACTCCTTGGGAAACGTTTCACTGGGAGCTGGCACAGCTGTTGGTCAAAGTTGAACTTCTTTCACCGCGCAGCATCAAAAGGCCTAAATTTGGTTTGGATTAGCAGCGTGACGAAGCCCACGTTCCACTCCGGACAAAGAAACTTCTGTCGTGTGGTGCCTTTTGTTCTCCAGTTTGGTTGGGGATGTTTGAGTGCATTACATTTAGTAGCGTCCTTGCTCCTAGTAGCGATGCCAGGAGCCCCTAGTAGCTTCTTGTAGCGTAATTGCTCCTAGTAGCGATACCCTTTGTTACTAGGTCTTGTTACTAGTAGTACGGCCAGGAGCTACTAGTAGCGTCCTTGCTCCTAGTAGCGATCCCCTTGTTAATTCTGCAAGATTTCTGGTTTGGGGTCCGTGTGGCTGAGGCCCAAAGTGGTTTTTGGAGGCAAGGTTCGTAGCTGTGGTGTTGGTAGTTTCATCCTAAGATAGCAACGAAGCTTTAAGGCATGAGAGGATGAAGTTGAAGGACTACTTAGTAGTAGTAGTAGTAGTAGTAGTAGTAGTAGTAGTAGTAGTAGTACTATGGTAAAAACAATAATAAAGACACAAAAATACAACTCTTTTGTTTTCCTCCTTCTACCTCTTGTGCTTGGGCCACTGTGCTATTGCTACCTATTGCTGGTAGTTCTTGTGGAGCTTGGTCTGCAACCCTGCAAGTACAGGTGTTTCATTCTTTCAGGTGAATGTTGGGTGGAATCGCCTATATGCTTTTAAAGTGGCACGGTAAATCACCTAAAAATGAGAGGATTATGTGAGTTGTTTGTGATCTGGTGAGGGAGGACGGTCGGGCAGGAAGCTGCGAAGTTCATGGCTTCGAAGCTGGGCCAGCCACAACCTTATGGCACAGGAAAAGACCCACAAAAGATAGAAAGGAATATCAAACGATAGAAAGATAGAGACTTTTTTTTTTTTTCGTTCGTTTGGGTGAATCTGCCCTTTTTGATTGACTCACTGTCGGCTGAAGCGATATTCATCGATTTGCAACACTGAAGCGAGCACCGTTTTGTGGTAAAGGTCCTTTGCGGCAGCTCCAGCGCAGCCGCAGATGCCGCAGATGCCGCAGATGCCGCAGATGCCGCAGATGCCACGGCCAGAGGTGAAGGAACTACAGGAGATGCTTTGTGCTTTGCAATTCTTGTTCAAAGCATTGCTGTACAGCCTCGTGAAGCATCCTAGAAGCTTCCTTGGGAATCGTTTCACCTTGAACAAGAATGTTTCTTGGTATGTCTTTGAAGCTTCTTAGTAATAAAGCTTTCTACTTGGCCCTAATAGTGATGGCCTTCAACCTAGTAGCTTTCTTGTTACTAAGAAGCGTCAAAGACAGACATACTAAAAAGCTTTCTTGTTGCAGGTGAAACGATTCCCAAAGAACCTTCTAGTTACTAGTGCTCAAAGCAGTGCTGTACGGCCTCATGAAGCATGCTCCCGTCCGGTTCTTTGCTTGTACTAAGACTAGTAACAAGAAGCTACTAGTTCTTATACAATTATATTTACCCTTTCCACGCCTACGCCGAGGAAGCAGCTTTCGGCTCAGAACCATGTTTCGAAGAAAGATCAACGTACCTGCCGTGATTTTTGGCCTAGCAGTTGTGGCGACAATTGGGACTGCCAGCTATGCTGTTATGAGCAGAAGCATCGACAAGGCACCCGAAAACAATTCATTTGTGCAATCCTTGAACACAACCGATAAAATGAAGATGGATCAACCTTCAGAGTCCTCAGTCAGCATGGGGCAAAACCAAGGATGTTTGTAAAGAAAGAGCTTGTGCAAGGCCTCATTGCAGTTTCATGCCAGTACACGTGAGGGGCAACCACACTGTTCTACACATACCCTTCAGCGAAAGTATCTAACCCGGCGAAGTAGAAGGGGAAGACAAGCATCTAAGAGTAGACAAGGGCGTTGGGCGAAGATCGACATGTCAGTGCCAAAGAGATCTTTACTTGTCCTTTCTACTGTCAAGAGATCTTTGTGCCTTCTGGTTTCGCCAGGAGCGCATGTTTCGGGGTGTGCTGTTTGACATTGAGCGCATGAAGCAGAAGACGCAGGAGCAAAACCCACGGTCTGCGCCAAAACCACAGTTGTCGTTGCACGGATTGCACCTTCCACAGCTAAGAATCAACATTATTTTAGAACAAGCCTGGATGGTCTTTCAAGTCTTTCTAGTCACTCTCTATGCTTCATTCAGGAATCTCCAAGCCAGGTGGCACAGAGCGATGTTGCTTCCTAAAAAAGCTCTTGTGGGTGACATGTGGTACCATGTTAGTAGCGATGGCCTCCAACCTAGCAGCGATGGGCTCCAACCTAGTAGCGACGGCCTCCAACCTAGCAGCGACGGCCTCGACCCTACTAGCGATGGCCTCCAACCTTGCAGCGATGGGCTCCAACCTAGATTTGTGTTGCAACGGATTGCAGAATGCAGACCTTGTTGGCAGGACGGTGAGTGACCTCATTGTGATAGGCCGTGTACATAGACATCCTGCACAGCAGCCGATGAGACATGCGCGAATATGGAAAATTGTCTTTGGCACACAAGCAATCGAACATTGGCAATCGAGTGGATTTGTAGTGGTTTGGTCAGAAGATTCCGCTTCTGAGTTAGGACCCAATGCTATTGCCACCGCCGCCCCCAGAGGAGGCGAGCAAGGCGACCAATGATGGTGTGGGAATAGCTGGAATCTTGCATGGTGGCGGCAGTGCCTAGGTCAAGCGGAGGACACAAAGCGTTCGGGGCTCAGCCGGTCTTGGCAGTGTAGGACCCGAATACGCTGGGCTGCAAGCTCTGCAGGATGTGGCCCTGCAACTGATCACGATGGGCTTTAGTCAGGAGAGATTACGATTTCTCTCCTGCAGTCCGGCTTGAGGTCGCAATAAATGCAAGCCTGACATTTGTCAGACTTTGAACCAGTACTTCAGAGCCTTGACATTTCCAGACGTAATGTGACGCGGACAATGACCATTGTTGCGTAAAGATACTCAGCAGTTTCTGCAGAAAGAACTTGAGATCAGTTTGTTTGCCATCGCCCTTAGGGTGAAGGCAATCGCTACTAGGTTGGAGGCCATCGCTAGTAGGTTGGACACGCTGCTGTCGAGGCTTGTTTGGGCTCAGGAGCCTGGCATACTCCCTGCCTTCCTGCCCCGCCTTCTTTGCCGTTCTCGCTCGTGGCGTCGTGTTTTGTATCTTGCAACCCAATTTACGCGGGCGCGCGCCGTAGACGGCCCTGGATTCTGGCTTTCTCTTGTTGGGCTGCTGTGCTCACTGTGCTCTTCTCGCACAAGTTCTGATCTGGCTCGGGGATCATGTGATACTGGTCAAGGCAGTTCACTAGAAGCCAATTTCCGAGATGGCTAAGGCTCTGTGAAAAGAACGGGATTTAGAGGCGAGGCGCCATAATTTGCTAAATCATTCGTTTGCTTATTGGCTGAGCGCCTCGTCCTCTTGTCCTGGGTTTTGTCATCCAGCAAAGGCCCCGCAGACAAACCGGACTACAAAAGAAACAAAGCAACAATAAATGGAAATCCATTTAGTATGTCAATAGAGATGGGGTCCCAGTATAGTCGCTATACAGGTACATGCCATATACTTTTGGCTCAAGTGCCCAACCAGGTAAAAAGGAGCTTTAGCGCGCGAGCTTCATGTTGACCTAAGAGCTAGAACGGGGCCAGGGCACACCTTCCATCCGTTCGCAGGTTATCAGCCGTATCCAGACTCCTTTGAGCTGGGTTCGTGCTGCGGCCTTACACAACACCATCTAAACGCACACGCATCGGATAGATCAGTTACCCTCAGTCACTCAAGATGGACCAATCCGACGCCAGCACTGCATCTTTTGGGGCAGCTGCTGCGGCCGCAGATCGGTTGAGTGCATCCCACAACTCTAGTCCAGGTACGATCGAAGTGGAGACTCTGACAGCGGTGAGAGAAGGTGCGACAGGTAGAGCACGAAGTCGTTCCCCGTCAGCGCACTCGACACCACCGTGGGGGACACCGAGGTCAGACCGTAGCACTAGGGAGACAAGGAGGAGGACTGACACCGGAGCTGTGAGAGTGTTAGCATTGCAGGATGGGTCAGCTGTACCAGTGCCGTCGGACAGCGAAGCTGGAGATCGAGCAAGGGCAAGCACTGACAACCTACAACTAGCACGGGCCGATGGAGACCTGAATGCGAAATGTGCGCAACTACTTGCCGAAGTGCATATGTTGAACCACCAAAACGCATGGATGGTCGAATGTGAGCAGAGACAGAACCAGATTATACAACACGAGACCGAAGTCCACGAAGTAGTGATGGCACACCTCGAAGAATGTTATGTTGAAGGATATGGAAATCAACGAAGAATCACCCAACTTACAGAATCCAGAGACTGTTTGCTCTCAGCAGCACACGACCTGCAATACCAGATGGACACTGATCGCGTGGCAATGCGGGATCGTCTCACCCAATTGGGGGAGTACGCTGATCGCAACAGCGCAGAGATGGTTAGTCAAGTTGTGAACATCGGCACGGAAGAGATCCAGGCTATATCGGCAGAAAGAGATCGAGCCGTAACCGAGGTCATGACTACAATCGCAGATGCTGAGAACATCAAGGATCTGTGTAGACAAGAGTTAGTTGGACTACAAAGGCAGAGTGCCAGAAACAAACACGAATACATTGAAGAGATGAAGATGAGGGAAGCGATGCATGCAAACAAGATCAAATGGTTATCAGAAGAGAATGAGGAGCTCAACAACCGAACTAACAATCAGGACAAGTTCATCTTGAGCATCAGAGAGCAGTTGAAGAAGGCGAACGAGGAGTTGACTCAGGCGAGGATTCAAGGGTCCGAGCGATCGTTTCAACCATCCAGCGCCGAACTCAAGAAGGCCGAAGTCAAGGTGAACATGTTGGAAGAGGACATTCTACGTAAAGAGAGGATACTGAAACGTCTTCAGGAAGAATTGATTGAATCAAGCGCAAGTGAAGCACAATTGAAGATCGCACTGAAATTGAAACCACCAGACATGGGATCAGAACTCAGTGTGGAGAATGAGATGATGACCAAGCTTAGAGCGGAACTTGAACGTACTGAAAAGTTATTAAAGTCCGAGGAGAAAGAGGCAATGGAGTACTATGAGGGTATGATGCAGAACCAACAGGACATGATGGAATTCGAAGCGCATGCATCACGACTCAGAGATGAGAGGAATAAGTACCGGAAGAGGTACGAAGAGGAGCGCACAAGTGCAGAGAATGCAGCCGCAACCGAACATGGTGCCGCTTCATCCTCTAGCTCGGGCGGCTCCAAGATATCTCGGAAGGAACACGAAAAGATCAACATCCCTGCATGGCCCAAGATACACGACCTGGAGGTTTGGAAATCCCAGGTCGTAGCGGCGGTCGTGACGGCATCGGGCGACGAGAAACAAGAAGATTGGATCCAATGGCTCTCGGACGCCTTCAGATCACCATATGACCCATTTCTACTCGAGACCTCAGGCGAGGCAAGGTTCGCTAGCATAGACGCTAAGCTAGGTATCACCCTGCATACGATCATCCACGCAGCAGGTGAGAGATCTCATGACGTGCAACTTAAGGTGAGGCAGATGATGCAGAGACGTGTGAGAGGCACAACTCCCGGAATGGTCAAGGGGCGAGAAATGTTAGCGTTGATCGTCGATAGTTTCCGGAGTGCCGACAACGTCGACGTGATGTATGCATCAAAACACCTATTCGATCTAAAGTTCCCTGGGGATAATCAACTATCCAGATTCCTAGGACAGTGGGATGAGATCATATCAGGTATGGATGCGGATGACATGCTTCCTGACAAAGCACTTCGCAACCTGCTATGGGATAAGATCAAGGATTCCAAAGTGATGGCGTTAGACTTGTCTGTGTACGACAACATGTTGGATAAGGATCCGGATAAGACCTACCAGAAGTTGCGAGAGATCATGGCGAAGTGGATACGGAAATCAATTGAGACCACAAACAAGAAGGAAAGGGAAAAGGCTTTTGGGAACATCGTGAAAGCCACACCAGCGGCGGAGAAGAAGGATCCTAAAGCCAAACCCAAGAATACCAAGACCGATCCACCGAAACAGGCAGCTCCAGTACTTCCTCAGGCTAATCCGAAGGATCACAACAAGAAGGACAAGAAGCAGGACCGTGGAAGATCAACCACGAAGAGCCCAAAAGGGGACCGTGGCAGATCAGCGACTCCGGCAGATACGTCCAAGATAGGATGCGCTTTCCACTTCCATGGGAAAAACGGATGTTCTAGAGGAGACAAATGCAAGTTCAGTCATCAAGAGAAGCGCAAGAGTTCTGCCAAGAAACCAGAAAACATCAAGGATGACAGATCCAAGAGTCCCGGTGGCAGGAGCAGTAGCCCTAAGACATTGAAGGATCAGGTCTGTTGGAACTGGCAGAAAGGATCGTGCAAGTTCGGGGACAAATGTCGACGTCAGCATCAAGCTGCTCCTGCTACAAAGCAAGAGGCTAAAGGCAAAGCCAAGCCCAAACCGGCTGCGCCAGCCTTCATGCTTTGCGGAGACATCGAGAGTGATGACGAGGACATACAACCCGCACTTCCCAACGTACAACAAGGTAAGCTGGCGCTTCGCTTTAAAGTCAGATTCGATGACCAGGCGAATGTGACCACGTTCACCTGCGATCCTGGTAATGAGCTGAACAACCGTCCCCTCAGGAAGAGGAGGAATGAAGTGCAGAAGGTGGATACCGAGCTCATTTCGTCGTTGAGAGCCCTCAGAGTGAATAACATAGCTGCACGAGTAGCACATGCCAAAGGTAAGATGATGGAGCTATTCTATGCTGAACACGTTGCCAAGGCATGGGTACAAATCACTCAAGATGAAGGAATTGAGGTGAGCGTCGACCTGTCTGATTTCAACACCAGGGAGGTAGTAAAGAAGGATTGTGTCGACTACACGATACCAGGAACCACGATGTTCATGGCTGTGGAGAGGTATGATGGACCACCAATACGCTTCATCATGGACACGGGATGTGGACACGATTTGATCTCAAGAGAGAAAGTCAATGCCATGGGCCTTACCACCAAGGAAGGACCCAAATCCGTGAGCTTCATGACAGCGAATGGTGTAACTAGTACATCAGAGATGGTGGACATCAATGTGGACGAACTACCCATGAGGTCCGAGGCACACGTGTTGGAAAGCACACCATCAGTCTTTTCCATCGGGAAACGGTGCATGGAGCAAGGGTACTCATTCATATGGCCGGCGAATCAATTGCCATACCTCATCGACCAGAACGCGAACAAGATTCCGCTATCGGTGCATGACAACATACCCTACATCAAGGTGAATGATGATGACGGGAGATGTTTACCAAGACCAGATGGCTTGGCCACGATACTTCATCGCATACTGTCAGGTGTGGGGCATGAAGACGAGGTCACAACAGGCCAGGAGACACAACAAGAGGAACTTCCGCTCAAGAAATCACGGAGACGGAGGAGAAAGAAGAAAGATAACCAGAAAGGTCAGGATGGCGAGTCTGATATCAATCCAGCCGTTGCAGGCGTCGAAGGAGAACCAGAGGAACACGGTGATGACAGGTATTCTCCTGAAGAGGAGTACGACGGGGAAGACCCGAGATTCGATCGTGATCACGAAGGTCAATCTGAAGAAGCCGGAGGCGACGAGCATGGGAGTGATGCGGATTCTGAACGAGGGGAGAGTGACATTGATGAAGATGAAGAGGGACTATTGGAAGTCGATGTGGTTGACGGGGAAACCAGACTATCAAAACCAGGAGTGCTGAAGAACGAGGCGAAATCCATATTGCGCTTGATGAC